AACACTGTGTATTCATTCACTCACTCTTGAGGTCCCAAAGCTAGAGAACATTTAAGACTTATCTTCCACCTGCAGGTTTCTCCGTCTCATCATGCAGTCCACCCAACGCTTGTTCTTGGCACAGAACTCTCTGGCTCCGTTATCATTTTTTGGTCGTACTTTTAGTCCTAAAATTTCCTCTGTTGGCAAGTTTCTAATCCAAGGACATACTTTCAGCTGGTTACATGTCTCTCAGAGAAACTTAGAAAAGGTTATTTGAAAATCCAAGAACAGGCTTAATGGAGTTTTGAGGAGGCTTTTGTTTTTCACTAAAGATAGTTGCTATCATCTTCCAGCCAGCTGGTTTTAGGGTACCCAACACAGTATCTCAGCTGCTCTTTTCTTATGCTCATTCAAAACACCAATACGAATGCCACATAAACAGGGATTTGGTTCACCTTTTAGTTTACTCAATAATCTAATATTTTACAGGATTTCCATCCCTGACTTTCTGCAAGACTCCTAACACACCAAATTTCTGATGACAGCCCTTCGTTCCTTGTAGGGCTACACTTCAGGTAACAAAATTGATGTCTGTTCAATAATCATGCTTTTTTTTCAAAGCATTCAAAAGCACATAAGAAACACTACAGCATGATAAAGATAATATAAATCAGGTAATTAAGCAGAAGCTCTCAGAATGTCACTGAAGGTTCATAAAAAGTCAATTGATCGTGATGAGATCTTATTTCGCTCGCAGCATCTTGTTTGCTTTTTTGAGAGGTTACGGTTAACTGGGGAGTTTCCTTTTCCCCTGCATAAGAATGGTCTTAAAGAAATTGAACCATTAGGTCCAGAAGACTAAATACAGAGGCAGCAGAAGAGGTGTGGGGGGAAAAAGGAAACAAGCAGCTTGAAAATGTGGGCTGGAGACAGTAGGGAGAACAGCAAAGAACCAGGTTACTTGTTATCTTGAGAATATGCAAAATAAGGGAAAAAGAGTTAGGATGGACACATGACATAGAAAAATAAACATTTTTGAAAAAAGATAATGCAGAAAACTCTATTTCAGTCATTACTGTATAACACCCAGGAACTCACTGGAATCATGCAGACTTTTTGCTGGATGTTTTTGATAGGGTTTGTTTTGTCTCTACAAAAAAAAAACCCTAGGGTTTGCTATTTTCCTCCCAGTCGGTTGATACTAAAGGTATTGAATTTTCTCAGCATCTCATCTACTGCTGTCTTGGGACATCTGTGTCAAAATTGTAACAGTAAAATTCACAAGTACGTCAAGCAGGCAGGAACAAGGGACTGGGAAGATCTGTGCAGTCATAAGTGAACAGAGCTGTTGGAAGAGCAAGGAATGGGACAGGCAAGTCTGCTGTCCATCAGGTGCTTGCTCCACATGCTCTTTCCTCTAGTTTAAGATGCAGTTGCTCACCTTTATCCATCAATAGATGCTGCAAGGTGCCACAAGGTAAGAGCAGAGATGAAGGTAGCTACTACAGAATAAGCAAAGATGCCATCAGTACAATACCTGTTCACCTGCCCAACCCCAAGCAGCAATCTTGCACACATACAGTCTGAAAGGTTTGCCCTGCCTCAGCCTTAAGCTCCCTGAAGTCATACTACAAGCACACTCACTTTTCAAGATGAGAGATGGAAGTACAAAAGATCAGGGTTTGTATTTAAATTTACAGTACACACTGTTTCATGCTGCCATTTTTACGGGTCTTCTGGGATGCACTGTTCATATGGCATGCTTGCGCATTTGACAGTATCCTACACCTACTCAATTTCAGTAAGCTCATTTCAAAAAAGGGATGAAGCCAGAGATAAACTATAAATACAGCTACAAGAATTGGATCAACTGAACATTTTCTTTGTGACTGGAAGTATAGTTGAAAGTAGAACAGGAAACAGCAGAAGGCATCTAAAACAAGTTATGGTTTAAAAGTGCAAGCATCAGGGACAACGTGAAGACTGCATCCTCTCGGCCTGGAGCAGCAGATAAGGCTGAATGAAACACAGGGGTAATTTACCCAGATTGCACAAAGAGCTGGCCCATGAGGTGAGCAAGGACAAAATTCTGAGTGCACAACGGAGCAGCTTGGGGCAAGCCTTGCAGCTGTCTCAGAAGGAATGTGCACTTTCCATAGGTATTAAAATCTGCTGAAACAGGTGAAAGGGGGAAGTAAATAAAGACTTAATTCATAGCAAGCTACATAGACTAAGAACATAGGAAAGTAAATGATTTAGCATAGGAGAAGTTTGAGGCAACAGGTCATGCAAAAAGGGATGAAAAGGTCACAGCAATTATGTATAGCCTTTTGGATAAAAGAATCCACTGCTGAGTCTCTGGATGTACTTCCAGCAATGTTAAGACGTTGCCTCCAGCTGCTGGATGACAGCACATCCTGCCTTTATAAGTATTCATTGTTCAGATGTACACCCTGCATTTTGGGAAACTTTGCTTTAGAACATGCTCCAGTGCCGTTACCCCACACCGTCTCCCTTCTCCCAGGGGGTCACCATCAACACATAAAAGACAGCTTTGAGGAAGGCAGGCCCATATTAATTCTTAAAGAACTATAAGCAGACAATCAGATCAGGCTTTCCAGTGGATATTCAGCCGGAGTGGTCTGGAAAGGATCCGATTCCAGCTGACATAGGTATCAAAGTTTCCAAGTTTGGTTTCTTAGGCACAGACTATAATCACAACGCGACAAGACAGACAGACAATGGTGAGCCATTTCATGCTTTCATCCCAGTATACACTGTGCTTCTGCATTACCAGTTTCAGCCTTGGGATATTTGTTGATTTTTATTTCGATCTTATTCCAACTCTACTCATATTTACATTTTTTAATCAAATGTGTGCTGACCATTTATCTCCAAACTGTCAATAAAGCGCCAAAATTGACCAGCTGTGTATGGGCCCATTTCCACTCGAGCTTGAGATGGTCTCACAGATAAGAAAGCATCCCTGGCACAGAAGGTGGGTTTTCAATTTGACATGAAGCTTGGAAAAGTTCTGGCTGCCTCATTCTCCAGGGAACAAAGCAGCAGGACAGAGGGCAAGGCAATACCAACACAAAGATCTGTGTTGTCCCAAGAGGCACATCTGCCTCCTCTTCTTTTGGTGAAGCAGTTGGGGACCATCGCTCTGCAAGCAGCACAACATGGAGAAATATGCAGGGCAAGTGTGATGAAGGCTGAGTTAGTCTGGCACAAGATAAGATGCACTGAAGGAGATGAACTCAAGCACTCAGTAGAACACCAAGCACTAAACAGACGCCTTCTCTGCTTGGTTGATGACTTTTTTGTATGCCTGTACGCCACTCTTTAAAAAAGAGATTTCTCATTAACAATACTAGCCAATCTAAAAAAAGACCCAAAGAACATACCTGACTTCTTTCTGTTCTAAATATCCAAAACATCGAATCTTTTTCAAGATCCTACACCTTACTGTTCAGAGGAAAAGACAGAAAAGAAGCTGCATCTCTCTGCAGTGTTTTATTAAAAGAAAGAACCTCTAGAAACGACCAGATGAGGAGGAGGTAAAGCCACCTACAAAACAAGACAAATTAGCATCACCCACTGACTGTTGATTCTGGTGGCACTACAGGCAAACTGGGAATGGCTTTAGGGCAACTTTGTGCTCACAGATTGTAAGTATGAAGAAAGAGTCACAAGCAGAAAGAAAGAATTAAACGATAGATAGTAAAGCAAGTTCCTTTTCTCTCCTCTTATTTTACAAATTTCTTCTACTATAGTGCAAGTCCAGAGCATTGATTCTAATACTATTTTACTGGATTTCCATTTGTTTTGCCTGGGCTCCTACATTAATCCAAACAATAAGGGCCTTTAAAGCATTCATAAATAACCTGCTGCTGCTGCTGGCACCTAGGAGCCAAGTGCAGCAATGTTAAGCAACAACAAATTTCATAGTTCAAGAGGCACAGTTAAGGAAAAAGGTTGCTCAGAAAATCACTCTCATTTAGCACAAAGATCCTTAAAAATTGCATGAAATCAGTCAAGTAACTATAGAAACCAATTTCTTCAGCTCTGTATCACACATCTCACACCTCAATTGTCTTTATTATCGTCCGCTGTCAGATCCTTAATCAGAAATGTGAACATGCTTGATGATTTATTCAGCAGGGAAAAGAATCTGTAGGTCAAGTGAAAAATTTCACACACACATACACACGCACACACATCTTCAACCTTAGGTACTTTCATTTCATTCTGTTCCCAGTAGCTCTGGGGGCAACTCCAGTGAGATCCAATATTAAGGCTCAATTAAAATAAGCTCCAATTAGTGGAGCTTTTTTCTCTCAGGCTAGAAAAGTCAGGAAATGGATATTGGGAAATGTAAAAAGTCAGCTACTGAGAGGAGGCTGCAGACATAAATGAACTTATTTGTTGATTTCTACAGTTGCTATGCAGAGGCCTCTGGGAGTAAAAGCTTAACCAGTCTAAGCTATAAACTAAAACCCCTGCAGCTAAACATGAACTGTGTGAAACAAGGGCTCCATTCCAGAACAGAAAACTGCTGGGCCCAGAAAATTAAAAGCCAGAGGCGTTTTCCATTTAAAACTAAATCCCAGTACCGCCTCCCAGCCAAAGAATTATAAGCAGTATCAGATTTACAAAACGAACAATTACCCTGGAAAAATGTAGCCTATTGTACAGTCCCAGATGCTAAATCTCAAAGTTTCTTTTTTTTTTTTTTCTAATCCCACATTATATTCCTACCAAGTGTACTGCTGCAGTTTACAAAGGACCGTTTCTAGACAGGACTGAAACTACAAAAATAAAATGTTAAAAAACAGAGCTCATAATTCATTGACCTCATTTGAAGCACTGCCCTTGCCTGTGGCAGTTCCTGTCCTTCCCCAAGGCCTCTGCAAATGGTATGCAGCAGCAAAATAAACCCTGACCTAATTGCCAGGACAGGGCTGCCAACCTTCTCTCAACACACAAAGGCAAGCATGGTAACTGGAAAGTCCTACCTCTTTCGCTTTCTGCTTTAACCGCAGTTGCTCTGGATCTTCTTTATTGGAACGGCTCTACCAAAGGAAGAGGAAAAAGATTGAATAGAAATTACTGGCATCCAAACACCACCGTATCCGTTAAATATTTAATAAATGACAATTTTCTCTGGTGATTGAAAGATTTAGCTCCGGGGGTGAATGCCTCAATCCAGACTGGCTTCCCTCCCCCTCCTCCATGCACATACGCGCACCCCCCTCCTCATCTGGGCCGGCTGCCTCTGCTCTAGCCTGAAGCAAGATTAAGCTGAAAATGATGCTAACACTGTCAGTCAGGTCCAGTCTAGGCATGATGTTGTTCATGTCAGCAGCAGACACTTAAAAAGGACAGGAAGTATAGGAAAGAAAGGGAGTCGTACTCGTGCAAGTACAACACGATTCTTTCAGCTCTAGATTAGGCTTCTACGCAAGGGGCTCCAGAAGTCAGCTCAAAACCAAACCAAACAAAAAACCCGACAAACAGAAGATGATTGTCACACCTGATCAAGCAACATTGACTGATTTATTTTATTTTTTTTTTCCCTCTTATTCTCACGGAGCAGGAAGGGGGAGGAAGGGTACTTATGCTGTACTAGCAGTAGCTCCATGAGGGGGGTTCACCGATGCTAGGGTACCAGCTCCAAGGCTAGCCCTCTGATCTTGACTACAGGAAACAAATACAGCTGGCAGGGCAGTGGTTCACTTGAACAAGCACAGTGAACCCATATTTTCAAACAGTGCCACACACAAATATGGAGAAACACGTACCAACTTCAGAACCAGAAAGAGAGCCAGGAACGATGTTTATGGCTCTGTGAATAGTTCTTATATTTCATTTTGACCAGTAGGAATAATGTCAAAACAAGAGTTCACCCTCGCACACATCTGAAAGAACTCTTGTGATTTATTTTTTTTTAAAGAATGTAAAAACCTAAAATCCTTTTCTGTATAGCCTAAGCTGTCCTAAACATTGCGGATTTCCAGTTGCAGCCTTAACGGTTACTACATTTAAAGCAGAAACAGGAGAAACCTGAAGATGTTCACCAGTCTAAAGGACACCGCTACTTCCTTGGAAAGCAAGGAGTGAAGTTCTTACCTTGGCTGCTCGAAGCAACATTTCACGTTCCTCTTCATCCTTTCTCTGCTTTTCTAGGTGATCAAGCTTTTCAAGAAATCTCAGCTGTGCTTTGGTGTCACTAGATACAAAGTACCTATCACTCCCCTGGAAAGAGAAGTTTGTTATAGATGACCAGGCTTTTATATACACCACTAGAGCTAATAAACCCAATAGGAACAATCTGAAAAGAACACTGTTTTACAAAGCTGAAAAAGAAAGTATAGGCTGTTTTAGAAAGACTTCAGGTAGTAAGTAGTCATTTACACATCTCTCCACTGAAACACATTTTTTGGTATCTGTGACCAATAACAGGATATTGAACAAGTGACATTAGCAACATCTAGTCTATATTGACTAGAACAACAACAAAGTCTTTTAAGTCTAAAGGCTGAAATTTTGTTTTAAACAGCAAGTTCATATCCAGTAAACATATGTACAAGACTGTCTTCTGGACAGGTTAAGAGGAAAAAAAAAAGAATTGTAAAGCAGCAGAACATCATATCCTTTCCCCTTTAAAGAGAGAAAAAATTAAATTTGATATTTTAAATTTCAAGCGTTTGGTGTTCTAGTTTCAGCCATTTAATCCAGAATTTGAAATAAGCACCACCTGGTATTTCCAAAAAGAGGTTTTATGGAGCAGAGGGGTGGTTTAGGACTAGTTAGAATGAATCTTGGGGGTGGGGAAAGTGAGATAAATTATATACGGTTTATTATAGCTTTAGGAATACATATTTTTGCCTCAGTGGATGCTCTCAAGTCACAGAATAGTTTACGTTGAAAGGTGACCTGTGGAAGTCATCTGGTCCAGCCCCTGGTACAAAGCTGGGTCAGTGAATACTAATGACTAGTTCCAACAGTAACCGACATGCATCCATTGAAACAAGACTACAGTCCTTTTGGTCTAAGAAAAATAACCACCAGTAGTTAATTTTTCATACTATTTTTGCCCTCACTGGAAAGCCTGAATTTAGTTTTACTTTAGATAGGAAAGATGACAGAGAAAGGAAAGATCTAAAGCGTGGTGAACAGGCAATGAAAAGCTTGGTTTTACTATTCTGCTCTGACTATTTAAGCCATGCGTTGGCCAGAGGACATCAGGCAAAACAAGGTAGGGGGCCCATTCTAGATGAGGCATGTCTGTGCCACCTGTTTGTACCACTCTTTAAATGCATGCAGTAGAGTTATCGTCTTTCTCTGTTACTTTGTGAACTTGTCTTTTCCTGAGAAACTTGCCCTTGGGCTTTTACCAGCCAAACACACTATATACTCTCAGCAACCCTTCTTTCTACCCTGCCTCAATCCCACACTTCAATGAAGCACCCCTGACACCCAACTATTCTGGAATAAGCACAGCCTATTTTACAGCTATATTTTAGGCAAGGGTTTATTTTAAGTATATGGACTATCTGTGATTTCAGTTGCTAAATTTTTAGTTTTCAAACACACTATACTCAGACTCTTCTTCCCACACTCAGTCATATACTTTTAAAAGCTGGAAGGAAAGTAAGTCTTCTTGTAGAGCACTGTTGTCTCCCAGACTGAATTCTCACAACCCAGCCAGAGCATGAAATCAATCCCTCTTCTGGTATTAAGTTTGGTCCTTTTCATTGAGCCACCACATCATCACGTATCACCAACTGTGGTTCAGACCACACCATGCATTGCAACAAAGGTGACTTTCTTTCCCAAGCAGAGTCTGTGGATCTGCAAAAAGTCCAACAAACCTTTCCCCCTGCCTCTTCTTTTACTGCTTGAGATTTTTTTTTTCACTGCTCCCCACAAAACATACACTACTTTGAGTCAGTCTCAGTACTTTAGAACAATTTGTTTTCAAGTAGCAGTTTATAATAATCCACCACCATGCTGCAATCCTTTTAAAGGGACAAAGAAAGATGTATTACTAGAAGATTATTTTTTCCAAAGTTTAGAAGTATTTTGCTTTGGAATGCCCAAAGTCAGAGTCAGATACTTATATTTTTAAAGCCATATCCAAGACCCTATGCCAATTAGGAATGCAAGTCTCTCAACCAGAAGCACCTCGATGCACTACCACGAGCTTATATGGCACAAGAAATATGTGCATCTGTAACAGTATTTCAGCTTGTCAACAACTGTTTTAAGATACCTTATTTCAGGAATTTTTAAAAGAGGAACACTTATATTTTGTTCTATTTAGTAAATTTGTTCTCTGTGATTACTTCGGACTGAATTGCTTAGACAGAAAACATTATATTGTATACTTGTTCATAACTTGTAGCCATTACTGTTATGATGAAGCAAGTTGGATTCAGTGTTTATCCATAAAATGGCCAAACCGTCCCCAGCTAGGACACTGCAATCCCAACAAAACTAAAGTTACAAGTGTAATCAAGGCCAGAATTTAAGTTATTGATAGATAAAGCTCATAACCACAATACAGAGCATGGTTAGATTTGAATGTGCCAAAGCTGAACTTGTATACCTGACAATTAAAAAAATCAGTTTAACTGAGCTAAAATTTAATCTGAAGTTTACGAAAAGTGAAAGTAAGTTTTTCTGCTACCCTGAAAGAAGCTATTGCTTTCACACAACAACAGCACATTAGCGCATCTATACAACCTTGTCATAAAATTCATTTCTCCACACTTTTTTTTTTCCCCTTCAAGAGAAAGGCATACACTCAAGACTTCTCCACACAGGCGCTCTAAAGCACAGCTGATTCCTATCAAAATTTTTACATTAGGTTTACACATATTCAAAACATGTAGCAGTGAAGCAAAGCATTCCCATATATGTCTTCAGTGAGAAGGGAGCTGGCAACAAATTCAAGAACAGCTATACACCTTGTCTGTGATTTGCAGCTTCCTTCCTAGATTGACACATACCCGTAAATGAATCTGAAACCTAAGGCACCTGCGGTTTAGCACCAGGAATGTATTGCATGTCCAGGGGCAGAAAGGAAAAACCCGCATACAGGGAATCTGCAACTCCACTTCAGTCCACCAGGAAAGAAGTCAGAAGAAGCCCACACAGACCAGTTCTCCCACAAAATCTGAAGAGTTTAAGTCACATTGAACAGCTTTGCTGAGGACAGAAAAGGGACAGGCAGTTGCAGAGGCTCAGCTACCATGTGGGAACCTATTAAGCTTTGGCTTTTATATAGACAACCTCTAAACCAAGTTTAACAGAAAAGCTTCTGATAAGTTACTTCCGCACTTCGTTGTTTGAAGGCGGTGTGGGGTGGGTAGGAGAAGGCTTGCTGTTCTCACACCTAGGACTGCTCACTCCTTTGCTATCTTTACCCCTTATACCAATGCAGTTGCCACTCCATATTGCCCTACAGATAGTGCAGTTTAGGGTTGCAGTGTTTTACTGCTACTGCACATGGGGAAAATGTTTTCACGGAGCAACGTTTATACTGCACAGCACCGTATCATGCCTCTCAAAGCCATGTGCTCGTTGGCTCCAAACACCGGAGCACGGCAGTCATCTCATGCTGTGCTGAATCCAGCCACATCAGAAATGTTTTTTTAATCACTGTACTGTTTAGGTGCCACTATTAATTCTGCTCTTGGGTCTCTTATTATGTCACATGCATACTCTTCTACGTCAGCAGTTCCCCAGATTATAGGAGGGAAGCAGCCAAGGAACCAAACCAACGAGCTAATTGCCTTTATGGTCTTACCAAGGCTCTACAAAGGCACTGCAACAAGAGTCACAGCACAGAGAGCAGCTTACAGCAATGTGAAAGGCTATTCCTACTTCAAATAAAGAGACCACCATGACAGTTTTATCCTAATTAAGTTAGAAACTTCCAGTTATACACCCTTTTTTCCCCCCCTTAGATTTAGTAAAAAAGGGCAAAAGTTGACAAGTCTACATGGTGGCATGGCGTGAAGCTCTTAACCTGCCAACTCTCTTTTCAGGGCTACCCATCAGATATAAGCTACTAGGCATGAGCTGCGCAAACAGAGAAAAGTTTCCCCGAGTATGGTCCCATGACTTACCGGCTTTTTACATCAACTTCTACCCTAACAATGGTTACCTTGGTTTCACCACACTTGTGCCTATTACTGCCCAATCTTTTTGTAATGAAGATAGGCCAATACAAAGCCTTACAGGGCAACTACCCAGTCCTCTTGGAAAGGCTCTGGACAATCCTCTGAAGCACACAGCCATGTTGCAGACTGGTACCTATTGATGGCCTAGAGGGAAAAGAGGACGGTGCAAGCACTGGGGGAGATGGAATACAGGGCTCTGTAAATACACATATAAATACTTAACAGGGCTCCAAAACCCTGTACTGTTCTGTTCTTGAACTTAGATTTCTAAAAGTCTCTTAGCATCTCTCAATAACATTACTCACAAACGCAATCCTGTAGGATGCTCCTTTGTACTGCAATACCATCTTCCTAACGAAAGAGGGTACCTGTGCCTCTAGGATTATTAATATCCATTACTTTGTGTTTCTTTGTTTTGTTTTTGAGAAAAGAGGAAAAGAAAGCAAGCTTATTGCAGTCTTACAATCTTACCATTGCTTCTGGCAATTCAATCAGATGAAAACCTATCAGTTTTTCTATTGCTTTAGTTCAATGAGAAAAAAAAATCAGCCCTATTAAGGCAACTATCCAAAAACATTCCCTTGTGTCCTTGGTATCTGCAAGACGCTGAGTCCGACTGCTTACTCAAGACTTCAGCTTCCACCTCACTTTTGCGTATGAGCTCTATTGGTTCTCCCACTTTGAGGAGACAACACAGAACATGTGCAGATTTCTAAAGACTTCTCATAAAAAACTCTATACTTTTTCTGTATCGATTTTTTTTTCTGCTGCATCTTCTTCTGGCAAGGAACAGCATACTCCAACTGCTCCAGACATCACTATAAATACTTGGAAGTTTCCAAATAGCTCCTGCTCTTTACTGTTGCTTCTCCAGTGCTTAAAAGTCTATAAAAAGTGTTCACTACAAAAATAACTCCTATCCCATTAGTTAATGAAATTTAACAAGACCAACTAAGTATAAAGTTCCTGTAAAAACCAACCAACCAAACAAGAACTTAAGAACTAAGATGCATCTGCTTCTAACTTCCAATTTTTTTCTAAAACAGTTTGATATTGAAAAAAGTAAGGACTAATATCTTATTACTGAATGACAAAAAAAAAAAGCCTCAAAGAACTATTTGGCCACTAGTAAGTTACTGCTTCCCATTTGTTCCATACAAGCATCTTACAGGATACTGGCTCACTGGAACCCAATATATTTTATATTGAATGGAGCTAATACAAGAGGGAGGGGAGGGAATCTTAAGTAGCACTGGCAGAAAAAAAGTTCCGGAAACTTTTAAGACCAAAGGAATCTCTGCCTTCACATGGAGCACTTTCTAAAAATAAAATACTCAATTCAGTTTCCCAAGGCTTTTTACTGAGCCAGCACTGCAGTTCCACCAACAGCAAACACATAAAGCAAACATAAGTCTCTAAATCAACCCGACCACCAAGCGCATTCAAAAATAGTTTTACATTTACCATGCAAGACAGATTTTGTGTAACAGTCACCACTTTTATGGAAGAGGAGAAACGCATGCATTTACTCTTATGCTGGGTTTTAAGAGCACCTATCCAATAAGTCGAATGGAGAATGTAAGGAATAGTTAGAGGCTATAAACACTTAAAACAAAACCAGCCCTTGGTAGATACTGAAAATGCAGATATTGCATATGATGTGCCTATACTTGGAAGAGGTTTACCTTCAAGGCTGCAAAGCAGCAAAACTTTGGTGCAAAACTTGCTTAATGATTTCCTTTACCTTGTGGGTTGATACTCTGTGCTGAGCAATTACAGTTAGTTTTTCTAGGAGGCCTCGTAATCTCTCCTGCGTAGCATGGGAGATCAAGTTCACAACATCAGAGTTAAGTTCCATGATGTCATGCCTTTTACCTGTGAAAGCAGAGAAAATCCATTACGTGTTTTAGTAGTAGCTGATAATTGAAATAATTAGCACAGCAGGTATTCTGTTCCCCCTGGAAGTCATACCCATTATGAATAAAGGTTTGGAGATTATGATTTTCCTGGTAAAGTCACAACTTCAAAGATCTTAGACATTACATTAATAAAACTTAGCCTGGAGCTTCAGAAAATATAGACATTGTTTCACTTAGCCTCCAGAACCACTCTCCTTGCAAGGTCATTTATAGGACAAAGTTAATAAGAACACAAATCAAGCTTCATGTTCGGGGAGGGGGAGAAGCGGCAGCTGTAGAAATTAGTGCCATATTCTGTTAATTCCAGTAATTAAAAAAAAACAGAGAATTACATTTTGCCCTGCTTGACACCATGCTTGTTAACAACTCATGACATTTATTCGACGAGCAGGGATGGTTTTTGCAGCGCACTCCAGGCACACAGGACCCTCTCACCTGCCTTGACCGACCGGCACGGGGCAGAGAGACCCAACCATCCCATGGCAGCGGCTCGCACAACACAGACCAAGTCCAGCTGAGGTCATCATGACATCACCTTCAACCTTTTCTCTCGGGCTGCCGCTGCCTCTCTGTGTTTCAGCAGCTGCAACTGAGGCTGGTGACAGCCCCAAGCAAAGCTGTGCCAGCCCCGCACCCAGAGCTGGGCATCACCTCTGCAACCTTCCTAGGGCTGCAGGCTGCCGACGGAGAAGCCTTCCCGTGGTTGACACCATCAATCACTCAACGCGACTCTGTCAACTCTTCCCTGGTAGGCAGGCAGGCAGCAGTTTCACATGCCTCATACGCTGTACCTGTCAGAAACGTTTTTCCTTGCCCCTCGCTGCATTTACAGCGGCTGTAATACTTTATGATGCAATATACAGCACAACTTCAAAACCCATTTCTGTATTTATTGCCAAGTGGGGTGTTAAGAATGGATAAACAGTACACTGTAAAAAAAACTAATCGCCTATTTTGTTTGCCTTTGCTACTCTAACTGAAAATGAGCAACAATCTCGCAAGACTGGGAGAACCTACAGTGTTTTCCCAGATACGATCAAAGCGTTCCCACTATTTGATCTTGGCCAGTCAGTGCTGGCCTGTACCTTAGCTGAGTGCAAAGTTCATTTTGCTCAAGCACCTTTCAACACTTCCTCAGCAGTTTCTTGCTAGACTATCAGAATACTGAAATACCAACTTAAAGGCAAAACAAAATCCCCCCCAAACCTCAAGACTTCACTCCACACACACTTCCTAAACGAAAGGGGGCTCAGTTCAAAGGTAGAAACGTTCATTTTCTGAACTACTGTATGCCCGACAGTATTCCTTTCCTTGCAATCAAAACACTTTTCATTTATGACACGAATTATTATTACTACTAATGTGGAACAGCTACCATGCCAGCCATGAAACAGCCAGGCTTCTATTTTCCATCTTTAAATGAACTGTCTTCCCAATCCAAACTAGAAAATTCTTCTAGAAGTACTTTCTCTTTGTGCTTTTGTAGAGCTCTTTATTTTTACTTGTATCCACTTCCCATGAACGACTGGTTAATCCTCTGTTGAATTTTGAGAAAATCTTCTAGGCACCAATTTTGATGTGTATTTTCCCTTTTCCACTAGTAACACAGCACTTTCTTTACCCAACTATGCCACATACAGCTCAGATGGCACATCTGGCTAACTAGTGCAGGATGTATTGAGGCAGCAGGTAGCACGTGCAGGTTACATGCTCGTCACAGGCTAGCTACTTAGTAAGGACTAAGAACCAGTTGCATGTAGAAACAGAAAGACTTTGGGATCATGTAGTTAAATCACTGTGACAGAATTATGACTGCACGTACGAACCGCAGGCTTTGTTGAATGCTCAGCTGTAAAACTCACTGTTCCAGTATGGCAAGCTACCAGGCAGAGAGCACGAGCAAGGAGTTGAGCAACATTCATCCCGTTTGCTGTAGACGGCAGCAGTACCAAACAACGTGGTGCTACACAAATGCATGCTCCCTCCTCTGACATAACACAACATTGCTAAGCAACAGTTATTACTTTGCTCAGAAACTAACAGCTGAAATGATACACACACTAAAAACTTCCTATTACAGTTTAGTCACAGGCATTCAACATACATCCCACAGTACTATTCGCTGATGCAGACAGCTTTAACACCTCTTTCATATAAAATTAAAGTTAGTTTTTTCAGTAGAGGGAGTCATAAACAAAGGTCTGCTCTGTGTGTATTGGCAGTTTGAAACTTCTTCCTAATGTTGGTCAATAGAGTACATATACCTCAACAGGCTGGGGAATGCAAAAACTGTTAGGAAAGTCAGTGTAATGCATCAAGTTAGGTCTGCAGAAATAGGAAAACAAACTTAAGTGTTTCGACACTAGGATCTATATGGTTGTTAAGTTTTCCATTAAGTTTAAAGTAATAAAGTTGCTCACTTCTCCCATGTTAAAGTGGTACCACTTTCTTTTTCTTGGTTGTGATTCAGACTATTTCCATGTAAAAAAATAAATAAATAAAATTGGAGAAGAGTTGTTTCCTAGAAGGGGAAGTAAAAACTCAGGATAGTTTGGTAGAAACACATGAATTGAGATGGTAGATCTTAATAGTTCCAGCTCCTTCTTCAAAGATTGAAAGTTGGCTGATGAAACAGGCAAGAAAATACTATATCCATACATATCTGTTACGTATGCTTTGCTCTCACCTATGTTCAAGATCTTCTTCTGAAGCGCTTCTGAGGAGAGAAAAGGTTCATCTGCACAAGAGCGGATCGCTGTACCAACGAGCTCAGACTTTGTTGCCAAAATGCACGCATTCTCTTCGCTAAGACTGATTCCAGCCATAGAAGTCACATCATTTATATCATCTTCATCCCTACCAAAGAGAAAACCAACATTTTATGCTTCGTTCAGAATAGATACAAAGGAAAAAAACCTCTTGAGTATCAACAAACAGTCACATTCTCGTCTCTTGAAGGCTACCCCTATACAATAGATGTTTAGTGTGGGTGTGGACAGACATAGACAGCTCCTAAAAGCTTTCACACTTCAGTGAGGTGCCTCTCAAACATTAGTTTGACTAATGCCTCAGTTGCTAGGCATGCAAATCCTTTATATGAAACTGAAATTTTGAGCAAGCCCCGAAACTAAGGACTGAGGTAAACCTGGAATAAAAGTCCCCACAAGCCCTCCCGCACGACCACACTTACAACCTGAAATTTGTTGTAAAACTCCAATTCACCAGGTAGAACCAAGTGTTGAATAAAGTTGAATATTGACTTATTGAACTATAAACAAGCCCATTTTCTGAGATGCCTATCCTACGAACTGAAGCTTACAGCACAAGCTTATTAGCACAGACATGATCTTCACTTTTCTTTTAGCGAGTTCCCTTTAAAAATGAGATACAAACACTCCTTGTCTATATACTAGAACCAATTCAGACCTTGCCCTCTCAATCAGTCCTACCATACATTACTTAGGTACATAGCGGGGAGGATGCCATGCTTCTGAATAACAGCAGCAGAGCTCTAGTTCTTAACATCCCTCCGTTAGCTGGATTCTGCCGTAGCAGCTTTGGACTATGTGTTCAAAATAAAAAGTCAAATCTGGCATACTTAGGGTTAACATAACTCAGACCAGCTATAATCATGGCAAAGCTCATATATAAGCAAATAGCCTGCATGCCTCAGCTTTTCTTAAATGTTTATAAAGATTATTTAAGTTAAAAAAGTTAAGATACTGAATGAATCTTATACAGCAAAAGTTTTTGCAGGACTTTGGCAGTGAAACAATCCAAGTTATTTTCAAATAAGTTTAGATAATTAAGAGAAAACTTTTTGGCTTCACAAAGTGACAAAAACCCTAATGGTGGCTTCAAGGGTTTAGGACCAATCCAGAACAAAAGTCTGCAGTATTAATACAGAAAAGTGGAAGCATTCAATCTGAAGGTTTTTTGAATTGGGAAACAAAGAAAACAAAACCAAAACACACACACTCCTCCCTCCCCCTCTTTAAAAGTATTCTCTGGCAAGGCTTGATAAAGTTCACCTTCAGAAAATACTGTGTGGGCTACATGACTCTGGAACAAGGGGTTAGCTGGAAACTTGACATTCTTAGGTGAAATGGGATCTCTTTGAGGCTGTCTTCTGTCTACAATAAGTAGAAGCTGAAGTTATTAGAACATGGGTTGGGTTTCAACAACACTTAAAAGATACAAGAAACTGTTGGGAGTTTTTTCTTAAAACTATAGATGCATTTCTCCTTTGGGCTTCAATAGGTTTCTATGGTACAATTCTTCTCCCACAAACTTCTGGAAAGAAGCCTGGCTAGGAAAGGAGTCCAGCCTTCCCCTACTCCTCCTGCCATTTGTTTGTGTCTCCTCATAGCTCAGAGTTTCTACATGATTCATTCAGGGAAAAGGAGACCCAACGGATTCTCAAACTGGCTTCACTGATGAAGCCCAACTAGACACTATAGCTTCCTGACTAGGCTTGTGCCCCAAATCCATTGTGCTAAGAAAAGCGTTAAACCTCAGGATTGCCAGAACAGTTAGATGACCACAGTTACGATTCAAAGTGAAGGCACTGCTGCCAGAACAGCTTCCCTTCTTCCTCCCCTTCACAACCAACAACTGAGCAGTTCCAAGCGCATACTCATGCTCTATCAACTTAACAGAGACCCTGATCTTTCATCAAGCATGTAAATGAAGTTTCACTGCATGATAACTCAGTGCTAACTGATGTTCACAAGTACACTCCAGTTTCCTCTTCTGAATGACTACTACAGAGAAGTCTTTGCCAGTGGCAGAGACAAGAATCCCACCCAAGTGCAGCGACTGCCACCGATCTGCTGATAAAGGAGATGACAAAATCAGCACAATCAGCACCAAGAACACATATCACAAGCTATCAGGGCTGCAGATGCTGGAACCTGACATTACCCCCAGTGGAGCCATTTATGGAATCCAAGTAAGGATGCTTGCACCTCAGGTACAATTGTGTATCATGCAGTTTCAGTAAATCATTTTAGCTTTTAATCCGGCCACATAGTCCAAATACTCAAGTAAGAAGGAGGTAAACCTCTGTACTACACATCTATCCACCTTTCTACGTACACAAGTTTGTTCTCTAAAACCTGCCTTTATCAGGTTAGCATTTTCTTCAGTATTTCCATGCACGCAGTCTCTTGTGACTACACACATACAAAAACTTATATGCAAGCAGACATCCCTACTTGTATTGTTTTTAAGGACTGATTCTAACTTCTTCACTGTGGGACATAAGTTTGCATTAAGTCACTAGCCTTGATGAAAGATTAAATTTCACCTAAGAAAACACTGCTATACTAATTTTACTTAATCTCAAAAAACTACCATTACATTTCCTAAGAAGTAGTGCTCACTAAAGATTAACTTAAGTTTCAGAAGCCATGGTAAGTTTGTACTTTCTACTATTCTTTTTTCCTCGCCGTTCAAACAAGTCTCAACCATTTTAAGCAAGGTATCATGTACTTCGAGGAAGTTACAAAAATCACTCTACTAAGGTGATAAATTTAAAATATGCTAGAGTATACGCACAGATGTTTCTGTTGGATACTGACTTACTTTCATTTTAAGCAATCCCTCCATAAAGCCCCCCTTTCTACACCACTTCCTTTAATGCCTTTTGCATTTGATCATGTCACTCCCAGAAGTCAACAAGAAAAACTCTCCCCCGCTACTGTAAGTCTCCAGTGATTTAAGCTTATCAGAACACAGAGTTCTGAGCATTACCCTGCATGAAGTCAGGTTTGACACACTGAATATTCCACCGAAAAAGAAGCCCAAGCAATGCAGATGCACCTCACATCGATGATTTTGCCTGCATTGGGTGAAAAGTGAGTCTGTGGCACCCTCTGGTGTTTGGCCAACACACAGGTCGTCTTCTGAATCTGTCTTTATTTACTCCATTTTATACAATAGTCAAAGGGAAAACTAGAAAAGCACACTTAACCCAAACCTCCATGCACCACCACAGACAACTACGTGGGACAGAACAACTCCAGCAGAGCAAGAACCACCAGCGCTCCCCGCCACCATGGGTCAGGAGCAGCAGCTGCCCAGATGTTCTCCATTCTGTCTCACTTCTGTTTGTCTGCTAGTTGAGATTGCAAGTACCTTCCGGACAAAACGCACAAGTCAGAGTTGTACGTGCTTGGGAGAATGACTCTATTGAATAGAATAGATGCAAAACAAATATTTGAAGATGCAAATATGTATCTTATTTTTTCCAGGGTGCTCTAGCATATACTTTACAGAAGTATGTAGAGCAGTTTATAAAAGTCTTGATGCTTTGAAAACAGATTGTCCTTTACAATACATGCCATGGGACAATCAAGCGCCAGCGATGCTCAAATGTCTAGAAGGTGTTCCTTTGTCCTTTTTTAAGAGGGGGGCAGGATCACCATTTTTTCTACAGTTCATCTCAAGCAACCTAAAACAGCCCATTAAAGAGCAGGCAAGGTCAAATTGCAGCTTATTAAGTACAGCTTAGTGAGTACTACATTCTCAAATCCTAACCTAACGTAGTCCTGCAATGGCAGTGGGAGTCAGGTTCGATGAGTACAGAGTTTGAAGTGTCACACATACAATCTCATCAGTTACAAGACATGCTCTCTACCCATAACAAATCTCATCACAAAACCTGAAAGGGGGCCACGGTGCTTCTCTCTGCCTCACTCATGATCAGCAGTTGATGGATCACAGGTCACAAAGAACAGCTGTGCTGGGAATACTGAAAGCCAGGACAGAAGACTGCAAAGCACTTCACAGCTTACTGAAGAACATCTATTGCTCAGGCCAGATTAACACCATGTGGTGCTAGACCTACTTGGAGAACACAGATACTTGACTGAGGGAAGCCAAAGTTCAGGCTGCCTAGGTTCAGATACATGACGATCCTCATATGTAGTTTTTAAAGTCAGAAAGTTTCGGAATAGCAGTGAATAGAAGAAGCACCAGGGGTGTATCCAAAGACACAAATTCTTCAGAGACAAGCAACTTACTAGAAAAATCTAAGGTGAGTTAGAGATTTCAAATCTGAATTCTTATGGACTTAAGCTACTTTGAAAATCATAATCCAAAAGCAAGAACAGAAATCCACCTTGGATCACACTGTAAAAGGAGAGTTTTTCCTACACTAAGAATTTAACAATTCAGGTAAGGAACTTCAAGAATTCAAACTTTTTCATGTAAAACAGTTGATATATTCCAGTTGGAAGATCACAGAAAAAAAAATTGTTTCTATTTTCTTGTAGGAGTTTGTTGGTTGTTTTTTTTTTTAAATTATATTTCTGAAGTGATTTTTTTTTTTCCCCCCAAACATCACTACCCAAAATTATATCCCAGATTATATTCTGAAGTATATTTCATAAGAGCTTGAAGCAACTGAACAGAGCTATTGCTTTAACATCAGCTTTTCATTTCAACTTCTGGCTACCAGCGTTTTAAGTGTTCACTGTATACTGTATGTTACCGTAAACAACAGCTTTCTGTCTATATCAGTGCACACAAAGCTGTAGCTTTCAAGAGATGGGAAGTCAACTGGTCAACAAGACGAAGGTGTCATGTCTGCTTTATCCCTGGAAGAGCACCTTCAAGCTTGCATTCAAGTCATAAGACCAATAATGCTTATGGCAGTCTGTAACTCTGCTCCAACATTACATTTCAGAGCTACAAAAATAATTTCTGCTTTTGAAAAGTTAATCAGTTACCAGAACTAAATGCTTTAAGCACTCTTGTAAACTAAAGGCCTAGAGAATATGCCAGAAGCCATAATTAGAGGTGTAGTGAAACTTTCACCTCTACACACAGGAACAAACTTGTAAGAGGAGCTAATAAAAGATTTCAAAATACAGCACAGAACTTTAGACAGGTTACCAGTCAGTCCAAATAACAGCTCAATGCTATCTGTCTGTAAAAAACAGAGGTTATATCTGCTTTAATTCTATGGAGAGCTTTTAATACAAGGTAACTTTGCTTTAGATTAGTTAATAGTACTCATAGGATGGAGATCAATACGCCTCCTCTACAAGTGAAAAACTGATACATATTGATGCACACTGTTTATATAATTACACTCTTGTGATAGCATGATGAAAATTCAACCTCATCAGGACAGTTTTCTTATCTTAAGAATAATTAACATCTGCTATGAGGTCAGAATTTTTAGGTTCCCTCTTGCCAATTATATCATAACGTGAAAAACACCTATTATGAACGAGATCCTAAAGAAAGTTGCTTTTATTTGGGCTCCATTCCCAACTCTATACTTGCTGTCTGTTTCTTTTGTTCCTTCGTATAGTAAACTTCTGATATTGTTTATTTTTACCTGAAGGATATTGCTCCATTCTCTTTTATTTTAGCTTTCTGAACAGGAGATGCTTGAAGCGACAGAATTTTATTTCCTGGCAGGGTAATTTGTTTCAGAACGGAACCTAAAACAAAACAAAGAACACAGCAATTTGCTTTCTGCTATGGTAAGGTAACCGTTTAATCAGTTCATACTTCTAGCAAAGGCTACCGCAGACTCAGTAACAACTAATTAGGTCCATTTGAAAACCAGACACTCTAAGAGAGTCTTACGATCTACAAGTTCTGTATGGCCAAAAACCCTACACACTCTCAGTACACACTCTCCTCTGTGCTGACTAGAGAAAGGTTTTACTGAGAACTGGCTGGCTGAGACAAACTCACATTATGTATCAACCTAGACGTGTTGAAGGGAAAAGCAAAGTCTCATGAAACGACTCTCAAAAGCATCACGGTTTAAATGAAGTTCACTGCAAGGAGCTTACTTACTGTATTTTAACAAGTACAAATGTTTGATTGACATGCTTTTAAAAGGTGCCAGAAGTAGACATGGCACTGAATTTCTCATCAGAACTCCAAGCAGACAGTAAAGATGTTCAATTTATCGCACAGAGATGGTTGCTCCCAGTAGACAACCACCTTCTTACATTCCTACAATCTATCAACAGCCTGCACTTATTTCTATACCTCAGCAGTCCACTTCCTTCTCCACTAAAGAGGTTCCACTTTACCTGCAGGAAACTGGTTGGTTTGAACAAGTGTATTCAGTGGCATCCTTTTCTCAGCAGATGTCTGTAGGGTCTGCGTTGAGGGTTGCGGGAGCGTGGATACTTGCTTTACAATGCCTCCTGATGGTTGTTGGACTACCTGGAAGTGGAATATCAAATACCAAATGTGAGAAGAGCTAAACATACAGAGAAGTAACTAGTACTAACGTGTTCATTTAGCCAGAAGAGCCGCTGGGCATTCACGCATGTCTAGCTTTCAGTTTAGAGCAAACAGCTCGCTCAGAAAAATGTCACTTTTTCCTTTTTTACTTCATGACAAGAAATCTTAACAAGTGGCGGTGAGCTTTAAGCTCCAGCTCATTCGGTGAGCTCTAACAGACACTTCACCCCTACTCTCTATTGATAACCACATTAGACAAGTTTCACTAAGTATTACACAACCCTTTACACCAAGAGGCTTTCCTCTACCTAAGTCTGGCTTAACAGTCTAACAATTGAATATTGACTCCGTCTGCCAACAAGTTCAAAAGAGTAGGGATCACATACACCTAGTTAAAAAGAGAGAACACCAAAACAAATAGATGTCTTGCATGAAATCCTTTTCCTGTCAAGAATTAAAGAGCACGCACTGTAAAGTTACTAATGCATTTTTTGGAGCCGCAACATCAATTGTAAATTGAGATGCTGAGTTTGAAAGTGTTAAGCAAAAGTACACTGAGCACATCAGTTAGCAGGAACATGAAGTACCAACTAGCAACACCTATAGCGAGTAGAGTCTCTACACAAAACCATCAGTACACTGCTGAAGGGTAAAAAGGAAGGGGGTTGATAGTTTTGTTTAAAGAGGCTCTTGAAAGAAACTAAACCAGAGAGCAGGATGTCATCACAACACAGACTTACAGGCACACTCCGTAAATACTAATTCTTCTTCAGGGGCAAGCTATTAAAATGGACGAAAGTAATAAAATTGCAGCATCCCTGAAACCCTCATTTCTACATCTCCTAGCTAGCAGAACGTGGGCTGCAGCTTTTGATACATCCTTTGGAAAAGTTCCTGATTACAAGCAGTAGAAAGATGTGCTTTTACCAAAGCACAAAATTATCAACATCTTCAGATTGAACCCTATTTTTTTAACAACAAAAAGCTAACACCAGGGAATTTTCAGGGTTAAGCAACCACTTTTTCTCCTTTACATCTTTTATTCTAACTTCAGAAAGTCTAAAGAGTGCTTGTACAGCAACACTGCACAAGTTTAATTGAAGAATTATACTTCAGAAATTAGGCTTTCTCCTTCTGTCATGTAACTTCAGATTTATCAATAAACATCATCAGCATAAGCATCACACATCCACAAAAAGAGGTACTTTGACTATCAAACAGTCAAGATACACCCCATCATTCCCATATTAATAGCATCGTGGTTTGGCACAGCAGGAGTAACGCAGAATAACTGAGCTGAAGGTGGAGTCTGAAAAGCAGACATCCAACAGACAGTTCTTGAGAAGAAACATAAAATCCATAAGAGGAAAGAACCATGGGAGTACAGGGACAGACTGTGGACAGAGTCAAGGCTCACACATGCAGCACGTCCTCATTGAGTAGCACAGACACTAACATTTGCTTCCATGTGCTTTTACCAAAGCACAGTTTGATCTTCCTGAAAGATCCAGCTTCCATAAGCTGGAAGTTGCCAACAACATTAACAGCATCACTTATGTGTTTGGATAATTACCGAGCCACTGACCAGCTTGGACAAACTACTCCCAGGCTCCGCCAGCACCCACACTGACATGTACCTACAGGTCCTCCCTACCACCAGTGGGAATGATCCCTCCTCTTCAGCATGCAAAACACTGGAACAGCACAGGGGGAAACATAAGCATTCAAGATTAAGGTACAGCAGACAAAAGAATAGAGATAGGCAATGTTAAATCAATAGTCTAGGTGGAGATGGAGAAATAAGTCAAGTAACCGAGGAGACTAGATCAATGACAAACAGAAAGGATGTGTTGGCAGTAAAGCAGATTTTTGGTTTGCCATTCTAGCTGCTAGACTAACAAAAGCTGGAAGTCCTTGGGACTCGCAACAGGAGAGGGCAACAATCCTAGAAATTTTAACAAGGATCTAATGCCAGAAAGAAGTATTACAAAAATAGGTACTATCTGTGAGAAAGAGTTATTGCCTCTTTTCTTCAGGTTAGCAGCAAGAAGTAATAAAGAAAAGGGACTGTTCCTTGGTGTCCCATTTAGTAGGTTGACAGAGACATCAGAATAAAAAAAAAGTAAAACAACATCCAGCTGACAGCATAGAGACAGCTGCCTGAGAGAGACTTTGATTAGCCTTACTTCAATCTGTTTTACATTCATAAAGCAAAGTCCGGAGATCAGCAGAGAGATGCTGAGGTATCACCACACACTACAAGCAGTACTGCTTCATGAAGGAAGCCTCACCAGCTGAATGTAAAAGCACACATCCAGGACAAAAAAAACCTCTTGAAAAATAACAGAGGCGACTGTTCAAGAAAGCTCAGCTCTGAGGGGACTCAATACTAACAACTCACTAAGAACAAGTAGTTGCAACAGCACAAGCACTTCACTCCTTGCTTCAACCCTTAGCAATGTCCAGGGAGCGCGTCTCGCTGGTAATTGTGGGGACTACACCATAAAACTCTTGCTCTTTATGCTTAACATGAAGTTGTAGTCTCATAGCAGCTTTCTCACCATTGGAGGCCAGTGGCTGGCAATGCAAATTTTCATTTATTGTGCTTAACAAGAGACAAAGCAATACCACAGCAAGACAAGCTTTATTTCCAAGATGAAACTCCCTTGTAAGCCAACGCCTTTACATGAGGCTATATTAAGAAAGTCACCAGGAGGGAACCCTTCCAAACGTGCAACTCTCGCAGCACAGGCGTGTGATCAATCCCAACAGCATCCCTGAAGAACAGGTCCCTCAGTGTTCGCCATGCAAACTCAGAGCTCCCATAGTCATGCTACAGAAATGGAAGTTACATGTTGCATCAACCCGGTCACAGTTTTGATACTCAAATACTGCAGTGCTGCATTCTTAAGCACCACCAACATTACAGCAGAGCTGGCACATGAAAGTTCACTTTACATTCCTCAAGCACAAGAGACCTAAATTAGAAATGGGCATGCGGAGGGAGTGTATGGCATCAGACAACCCTGTGGGCTGCAAAGGGAAAGAAATTGCTGGCAGCATTGTACGGACAGATTTGCACAGCTGGCATGTGCTTCCTTTCAGCTGGCAGCAGGACCCTTCTGTTCAGGGAGGGGAGGTCCAGATTTGTTTTTCTGTGGGAGGAAACAGACCCTCTGTCCTTTCAAGGAAAGGCACCAGGGAAGCCCTAGAAGATGCAGCGACTTCTGCTAACTTGCTCTGTGTGTTAAAAGGTTGTCTGAACAAACACCAAGCTCCTGATATGGCTAAGCTGCGAAGGGGTCAACTCAACCCTTCAACTATATCCAAGACCAAAATTAAACAGATATTTTGAAGAGCAAGTATTTTAATCACTGTGCCTAGGGTCTACCCAAATGAGGATAAAACCACGTTTTTTAGGCAATTCTATGTTTGTAAGGCACAGCAAAGAAAAGCAATTGCAACAGGCTGCCACAGAGCAATAGCGGAGGAGAGAAGTCAGTTCTTGAGTTCACCAATATCATATTCAAGAAGTGTTTCAACTCCCCAGTGTAGAGTTAAGCTTCCTCGTCTATTTGTACAGATGGTCAACCTTTCCCCTGGATTACAGGGCTTGCTGTGCAGCCAAACTGCTCTCCAGTCCTTGTACAACTAGCTACTACTACCAAAGACTGTCAGTGCATGTGCTTGATAACCCTTTTTTTTCCCCCCTAAACAAACCCACTCATTAAAAGGACTCCCCATCCCCTCCACATAGTTGAGTGCTTTGTTCTTTTTAAGAAAGTCTGGAAAGGTGAAAAGCTGGTAGCATAAGTTCTTTACATTCAATGCAGGATTGTTGTATTACATCCATCTTACGCACTTTAAAAGGAAGAAAATTCATAAAGCAAAACATTTTAGGGTTCTGAATTCAAGTATACACAATAAACAAACTACAAAGGAAATTCATGCACGAGACGCCCTACTATACCTGTGGAAAGTAAATCTAGCTTCACAGGAATTCTGACATTTTCCCCTCTTTTTAAAGAAAAAAAATCCTCACAAGGAAGTCCTATTCAAGAACTGAGTTCTTTATCTGCCAAACGGAGACTATTCTCTCAAAATACTTGAGAACATTACTTACAGGTAGACCCATTAGCATACTACTCAGTATCTCAAACACCCATAAATCAAATTTAATGTATTGCACAACATTGCTCTTTTGGGTGTACCTGTGATCCACAGTTTGTCGGTACGTAACATTAACTTTAGCAAGAAGTTAACCTGTGCCAAGAAAAAAAATGTTAACACATTGCTTTTGAGGGTATTGTTTTAAGAAGACATTTATTCCTCCTGGAATTTGTTAGCTAATGAGGTCTGATAGAAAAAGCTCACTTTTGGATGACTTCATAATTAACACATCTTAGTAAATCTGGAGGTCAGAACTCTGCTCTGAAAAGCTCCTTGAGTTAGTCTGCACATTTCAGTTAACGTATCGCTAAACATCACCAAGCCACATGTGCCTGCAAAGTATCCAGGGTAGGAACTACCAAGGTAGAGAGACTGGAATCCACGGTAACTAGCTGAGCCACAGCCCTAACAGGACATCGAGCAGCAATGAACGTAAGCATCCCATCACCAATTGCTGTTTCTGACACCAGCATTTCCTGTCTTTTCTTTCAGACACCAACCTAGCCTGGCTGCACGCAAAGCAGGGGTCAGAACTCATATTCCCTCATGTCTCGAGCTGGATGTTCAGTCTGGTGGAATGGTGGTCAGCATGTCTTGCAAGAGACCAAGCTTACAGCTTGCTTTAGATTCACCTTTTCAGCAAGGGCTCAATATCCTGAGGTGGGGGTTAAGTAACGAGCGATAGGACAAGAGGGAATGGCCTCAGGTTGCACCAGGGGAGGTTTAGATTGGATATTAGGAAGAATTTCTTCACCAAAAGGGTTGTCAAGCATGAGAACAGCCTGTGCAGGGAAGTGGTGGAGTCTCCATCCCTGGAGGTATTTAAAAGATATGTAGATGTGGTGCTCAGGGACATGGTTTAGTGGTGGGCTTGGCAGTGCTAGGTTAATGGTTGGGCTTTATGATGTTAAAGCTCTTTTCCAACCTAAACGATTGTATGATCCCTAAACTATGACAAACATAACTGATTAACTCATGACAGACTAGCTTCATATGTTAAAAAACAAAGCTAAGATCCAAATTGGTATCCTCTTTGTAAAATGGTAAGAGTCAAAGTAAAGAAGCTCGGTTACAGAGAAGCAGAGAAATTCATCTTACCAACTGTTTCACTTTAACCACCTGCTGAGCACCCACTGACTGTGCAACGATGGAGTTCGGCTGTGAAATTTTGATACCAATTGGGGTTCCAATGACTGGTTTCACAGGCTGGAGAGGGGTTGCTGCTGAAGATGCCACTGTAGAGACGAGCACTGGTGTTGCAGACTGGAGAGCGGACGTTGCTACAGCAGAGGTGAAGATCGGTTTGACAGTCTGGATAGCAGTCAGCCCTGATGTTGCTATTGTCGTGGTGAGGACTGAAGCTGCGGGCCGAGGAGATGCTGTCACCACTGCAGAGGAAGGAACAGGCTTCACGGTCTGCAGGGAAGTTGTCACCAATGCGCTGGCAAGGACTGGTTTTATAACTGGAGAGGCTGTTACTGTTACAGTGGCAGACACTGGTTTTATAACTGGAAGAGAAGTTGTTGCTACAGCTGAGGTTGCCACTGCTATCGAAGGAGCTGGTGCTGCAGGGGTACAGGTCAAAACAGCTTCTTGGGTTGGAGCTGGCTGCTGCATACACTGCTGGATAAAGCTCTGGGCATTGGGCATTAGCTGCCGTAAGGCAAGCATGCTTTTCTAGAAGAAAAATGAAAAAACACTGGATATAACATCAGCAGAGTCATCCACAATACTGATACGTTAGCAACTGAATCCTCTTCCTCATCTTCCAATTTAATTTTTCACGAGACAATAAATAGCTTATTCCAAAGAAGTTTTACTAGAATTCAGGCACCCTTAAATGGATGACAATACTGTTCACTGAAGACCACAAGAATCACCAACACAGGCTGAGCAAAGGTCAACAGTCACCATGACCTCACTGCACGTAGCAAATCCCATCTATAGGGAAACTCACCCACAATTTTGTTCTTTTGTTTAGATTTTTCAACTTGGAATTTATGTTTCAGAATAAGACCATTTAAATGCTTTGCTACCACAAAAAAAAATTTGTTTTGCCAAAAAGCCCTGCTATATTGTAACAGCTGTGTTTATTCCATGGAGCCCGTCTGACAGAGAACTACAAATTACCCAATAAAGTCAGAAACAAGTTCCGAAGACAGGAGCACTTCTATATCAATACAGCTGTATCTACACTAGAGGGGGATACCACTTTAATAATGTCTGTATAACTGCAGCAGCACAACCGAAGCCAGATAGCTCTCTGCAACAGGAGAACATTAGTAAAGGTATCTGGCAACTTCTCATTTTTACTAGAGCTGTGTTTGAGAAGGTTAATGGAAAGAACAATCTTCAAGCCCTCTACAGATTTTTCTCCTTGACTATGTACAGTCTGTTATGGCTCAGAACCAGGGGAAATCAGTTCTGTAGTTACCTGTACATTCTCACAAACCCCTTTTTCCCCCTTGACAGTTTTTGAAGTTTCTAACTCAGTCTCCAGCACAGTGCTCTTGCTCTGGGCTTCACGCAAAAGCAATGTGTTTCGCATACTAATACATCAAGTGAACAAATTGTTTGCACATCCGGACCTTCTGCAGCACACCTATCTTTAACATTCACTTCCTTTTCTTGTAAAAACGCTGCTCAGCTTTCCTCATGTTTCTGATGCAATTTATTTACCAAAAGCATTCAGCACAGATGTGAAAATCAAGCAGGCTTCACAGCCAAAGCCACAGTACTTTTCCACCTATTGGAACAGACAAAACAAAACATGTTCAACAACTTCAAAAACCTGCAGCTCAAAGATAAGAGACAACTCCAGAGAGTCCTCCCTAAAATTCCACTTCACTAGCTAAAAGTAAATTGGCAACAAGTCGGATCACATTTCTTTCCAGACGTGAGCTGCAAGTATTTCCCCCACAAACAAGGCCAGCACCGATCCTCATAGCACCTTAGAGAAGTGCTCCTGAAGTCAGCTTCCATTTGGCACTCGATCCCATCACAGATGCTCAGAGTTATGGACCAGACCTAACTGCTGTGTACCAAGTACACATCCTTAAGGTAATTCTGGAAAAAAGCAATCAGGGTGCAAGATGTTTTAAAGGATGAGTAACACTACAAAGTCAGCTAACTTTGACCATGAGAACGTCTAAACAACGCTTCTGAAGTCATAGTATTTCTTTGTTAATAAAGCCTGCAACAGGGAGAGAGCACATTGTCAAGGATTATGGGGTATAGATACTGCCCAAAACAGAAAAGTCTAGATGATACCAGTGCCTGGCAGCATGCTGCAGGAGAAACATGCAACGGCTCTGTTGTGATGGGTCAGGGTCTGACCCACACTGATGAACCCAAGTCAACTCCTGTGGAAGTGCCTCGGGGTCTGTGCACCAAGCGTAGGAGCTCTCAACGTGGTGGGATGGCTCATTAACTCAGGTTGAGCACTGCTGTGAATGCATGAGGCCAGTGCTGTGCCTGAACTAATAAATCCTTAGGGGACCCAAAGGACTGGACGCATTGGCAACTGCAGTGCAGTCACCCCTTGGTTCCTCTGCATGAGCTAGTATGAGGCTATCAGGGCTCACCAGCCTCAGACAAGGTCTAGCTGTGCCAGATTTAGGCTGGGTCTGTGCAGAGCTACTGAGGTTCACTTGCTCCGTTTCAGGAACAGCACGGCAGCAGCTGAGCCGGCCCCACACAGGCGCAGCCAGCCCACGTCCAGCAGGTTTCATCAGCCAGGGTCTTGCAGAAAGCAGCGACGTTACTTCTGAAGCCAAAGCAGAGCTCTGCCGGGACTCCATGCAGCTCATAGGAAACCTCTGCCAGTCACACTGACCCTGTGCTCGCAGCCCCGTCCTTCTGCAGGCAGAGTTGCACTGGATGCAGGAAAGCTCATACTCTGAGCTGTTTGCTTTTCTGGCTTTTGCATTGGCATTTAAGAAGCCTCCAGGGAATTAAACAGAGAATAAATAAGTGATCAATATGAAAATGTTATGTCAAGCCCTGCAGAGATGACTGTAGTCTTCTAGACTCAGGGCAAACTTGCTAGCAAAGCATTTAAAGGTTGCCACTGTAACAAAAATATTCATGCCATACTTGAACAGGTTAACACCAGCCATCTCGAGTAATATCAACATTATCACATGCATTGTTACATATGCTGTCAAATATTAAGGAAGAGGACAAACTCCAGAAAACCTCTGTCCCAGCTTTACCACTTAACTATTCTTCCCTGATTCTCCATCATGCTTATAATGAATGCCAACGAAAAGTACGATCTATCAAGCCAAAGAATACTGTGTACATCGAAATTAAGTAAATGTAACAGTTTTCCACATTTTCATTGGGATTTAATGCTTGCTGTACAACAAATATGTTCATTTTTATTTTGCTAATACCACTGTACCATATGATTAAAAGTGTTAGGAAAGTATTTTTTAATTTACATGATTATTTGCTTGAATGGGGATAGAGTTGTCCTGGGTCACTTTTCCTAAGCTGCAGTAGTCCTGTCAGACCCTTTCTGGAGAAACGGGTGGGGTTTTTTCTGCTTCCAGTTAAACACAAACCATCAGACAGATGAATATGTATGTAGATTCCCTGAGCTTAAATACTGCATAAACTGTGCACAGCCGCTGTTGTCAGTCTTCTGCATTAGAACTCAGAATAGCTACAGTTTTGATGAGAAAGAGGTCATCTTAGTATAGCTGCTCTACTGTAGATGCACCTGCTTCCAAAACATAAGTCTCCACTAATGACTAGAGGGTAATTACTCTCCAATTTAAGAACACACTTTAAAGTACTCCTCTGAAATCCTCCCTCCCCCAAAAAACTGTCTTTCCAAGAGCAACAGTCACACGGAGTTAGGTTAAGCACCATTTCCCCAACCGACCTGAGCAAATACCTATTTGAATGCTCTGACTCCTTCCTTTTCTTTTCCTCCTCCTTCCCCTCATTAAATACTATATATCCACAATCAGACACTTACCTTGAGAAAAGGAACTAAATACGGCTGTGGAGAGGACTTGAGCTCTATGTATAGCTTTTTTGTAAATTCTTCTGGTTCAATTTTTGCTTCCTAAGAGGAAAGTATAATTACAATGGTAAGTTATAACTATTAATCTACCATATTTTTTCCCAGATGTATCAAAAGTGGAAACCTACATTATCATGGAATTGTTCAGTGTCAGTACTCAAATGCTTTCTTTTCCTCCTGTATTTTTAAACAAAAGGTTTTAGGATAGAATGGTGGTGTAATTTAGATATAGTATTATCAAATTAAATTACTGTCTTCAACTACTGGCAGTTAACACACTTACGGATACTTGTTCAAACATCCTTCACTGAAGTGAACTGATAGAAACAAGTTTAGAAGTAGCACTGATCCTTTTGAGTACCTCATTGTTATGCAGAGATATTTAAAATCCACTAAGAGTACTTTTTTTTCTGTAAAGGCAGTTTATCTGCATAAAGATCAGTTTAAAGAGACCAGAGACAAAAGACAACTCGGTAGTTTTTGTAAGACAAGTCTAGACTAATGCATACATAGCATAATAAAGCGGAACACTTAACATTGTCTCTCAAAAGCAGGAGAAACTGAGTACCAGAAGATCACTTCTGCATACCACTCCGGTAAATCCTCTGGCTTGCAGAGCACAGTCTCATTTCTTAGTGTCTTCCACTCTGCCCCAACACAAACACCTGACTCAAGGGCTTGGGAGGGTTAGGAAGGTACAGCAGACTTCCAAGACCCCTCACTCACTACTTCAGTGCCCCCACAATGGGGCTGCGGTGATGCGTAGCCCACTGACACTGCTGCCCTTTCTCACCCTCCCAAGCAAGACCCTGTCACAGACTCACCAAGAACATCACCTCCTCCAAGAAGGTACAGACGTACAAGGATGAGGGACCCCAGCACCATTCTCAGTCTCTGCAGAGACATTACTCCTCTCACCTGTATTCTACTTCAGAATACCCGTTCCAAGGAGCTATGCGACCAGAGAAGGGGTTTTAAAAGGACTGTATACTCACAAACAGAACTCACAGCAGCTCTCCTATTTACTCATTGGATCTGCTGCCTCTTAGGTCTCACCAAGCTGTGGATACAGGTCGCTGAAGTCTCACTGATACAGATGCACTGATTTGGTACCCTACATCTCAGTGCATATACAGTGCTTGACACCCACTTCATGAGATGCTGCCTTAAGGACCATTTTACTTCACAGCTGCCATTTACTCGTTTCCCTCATACATATGAAACATTAATTTATTTCGCATTTAAATAATATACCCATAGTGAATGGCAGACAAACAGTATTTTTAAAATACTACAAAAAGCAAACAAGTACACAGTTAATGATGCATTAATGGCTGATAACAACTGTTCTTAAAAAAAATAAAAGTACTGTAAGCATAAGAAGGAGCAACTCTAGTATTTTCCTACAGAAGCAAGGTGTTTAGTCAGCAGGGACACAGAGGCAGGGGAATCAAATTTTTACAAGGCTGCATCTTCAAACAATCTGCTCTCTGAAATTATACCTCTGTCTACAGCACATTTTTCTGGACTGAAAAGTCCTTTGGTACCACTAGCAAGGCCATCCCCCTCCACCAGCCCACAGCCTTCTGCTATGGTGGAACAACAAAGCAGCAGCAGCAGTCAAATGCCAAGACAAGAAGTGGCAGGAGAAATTGTTACCAAGAAAACCCAGCTGTGCTGGGGTACAGCACAAGGCAGCATACAGAAGCCATGTGCGAGGAAAAGAGAGCAGTTGGCAGCCACCACATTATTTTCTCCATCCCATTGTCTAAAGACAGATAATGTCATGCTTGTTTCACTGGAGCTTCACTATCAACCTGTAAGTCAGTTCTGTCTTGGAGTAAAGCAGTAGCATGGACTTCACACTGCACTGCAACCTCCATGGTAGTACTCTTGCCATTGAGGACTCAAAACTACACTAACATGAAAAAAAAGGAGCTCAGACTCAGAAGCTGTGTTAACTCAATCAGCTCCTCCTGCTGTCAGTTACCTGCATGGATAAAATGAAACAGCAATGTGAGGGGGGGGGAAAATACAGCATAGGATCCAGTTAAAACAAGAGTTATAATGTCAGACTTAAACAAGGTCAGATGTACTCAGTCACAAATCCCACTCTTCAGCTGTTAAAAAAAAAAGACAAGGAACAAAGCTATAATGAAGTCAATGTCAAAAACAATACAGAAATGAGGCAGATTTTGGTTTAAAAAGAGTCTCACCAATAGATTTTGCACCAGATTCTTCACATTCTGCCCCATCTCAGAGGCTTGAGGTCCACTAGATGCCAGTTTTATTAGCGTAGCAAGAAAATTCTTGCATTTCTTCACATTCTCCAGCATCTCCTAGTGTGGAAATAAAGAGAATACTGTTAGACGTTGCGTTGGCTCTCCAACCTCTGATGAATATAGGGAATGTTAATTTTTAATTAAAAACTTTTTTTTTTTCCTTACTGTAGAAGCACTGGTCTGTGCTACTGTTGTGCCCTCTGCTTTCACAGAGACTGCCTTTTGGGAGATAGCTTGTGCAGGTGGTCCTGTAACTGGAAGTTTTACAGGTGTTCCAGTACTCGAAGGCTTTACAGCAGTAACTGCAGTAACACTAGCTGTTGCAGCTGCTGGCTGGAAAGAAAAATTAACACTTTTTAACCAAAGACTAACATGACAAACATACTGTATTCTGCTAGCATATAAAGCAGCACCCTCCCTCCACACTACTACTGAAAACATCAATCTCTGTTTTTAAAGTTCAGGTTAATTTGCTTTGAGAGGTTCTATTTAATACAGAAAGTACAGAATCGACCCAGCCATAATTCTGTTTTCAAATCAAGGGCAGGGGGAGGAAATGACAAAGGCTCACTCAGACTGAAGGACTGCCTGCAACTTCAAGCGAAGAGAGAAAGCTAAAGTTGTCCTGAAGAAAACAATATATTAACTTTGCCAGGCTCCTACAGTCTAAGGATTTCGGACAATGCTAAGCTAGGTGATACTACTCTGTAGATAAAATACGATCTTAAGTAATTATTTATCTTCCTTTCTTCCCCTGCAGCTCCTCTCCCAATTGCAATATCCCTAACTCTTCCTACCACTTGTGGAGTAGGCAAAAGACATCGTGTCCACTTTGGAAGGATGCATCTGCGAGCAAAACCAGCCAGCTGAGCAAATGCCCCTAACAAGTTCCTCCTGCCTTTTCCAGGGGGAAGCAATTTGGATCTCTCTCCCCTCTGCCCAGACACAAAACCTCACCAAATTCAGTTATTTTAAGACTTCTTTTTAAAATCTCATTAGAATTTACTAACAGATTCAGAAGCTCCAGCAACAGGAGAGTAATGAAGGTTTAGGGAAAAATAAGAACACAACTGCCTCTCTCCTTTGCAAACCAGGCTAAATAGTAGTTTCCAGAGGAAAACCTACTAAACTGAAGTACTTCTACTTCAGATTTTTAAACGGAAAAAAAAAAACACCAAAAAATGCAACATGGTGGTTCTGATAAAACAGAATACAATATAAGTAAAAGACTTCGCCTCTACAAAAACCACTACTTTTGATTTCTCAACTTGAAAACTCAAAAGCCAGATCAAACCGGCAGGTTAGAGAAAAGCAAGAATTTCAGATTAGCATTTGAAACCTGAAGTTGGGTGTCATTCTTCCTCCAAACTCCTCAAGAGAAAGTCTGGTTTTGCAGGCCAAATTCTAAGTTCAGATCTGCACAACACTTTCACTGACTCTTAACACAATTAAACACCCTAGTTTAGTCCAACAATCACAAATTAATACTCGCTAATTGCATTAATGATAAGGTAGTAACACAAGTGCCTAACACCCTACCACGGATAAAACAAAAACTAATCAGTTGGACAGACATCATGTAGAATATCAAAGGGCTTTAAAGTCCTTCAGGACAGGGAAAGTTAATGAACAAATATTTAAAGCTAAAGCAAAACACTTTTGTTATTTATTTGTAATTTTTTTTTCCCTGGGTGGGTCCCCCCTCCTTCCCCAAGCTGCTGCCAGCTTGACATGAAAAGAAGCAGGCAGCTACCAGAAAGCTTTCCAGCCTAGGCTCCCACTGCTGGTAACACTTTAATAGCTCTCTGCAGGATCTTTGCCACCACCACCGCCTCTTCCAAGGATGAGGCTCAACAGCTTTAAGACCACAGGGAGGCAAACTGGGCAAGAGAATCCCACAAACAGATGGATGGGAGGAAGACGAAAGGGGACAGAGTACAGACCTGCCAAGCTGCAATGCCCTGGGCTTTTAAAAGTCGAAAACATGAGGTTCGCAGGAGCTGATCTCTTGCAAATTCCGGCATGTTTACACATCAAGACCAGAACGGCATTTTATCAGCTGAGGGAGGGAACAACAGGAAGCCTGCTGGACCCTTTTCCCAGGAAGATGAATATATGGGAATTAACTTCTGTCATCTGCCCTCAACCTTTTTCACTACTGACAATTCTCATTCTCACTTCGAGCAACAGAGAAACAGTCGCCACAAAAAATGGCATTAATCCTGCATATTTTGAAGTCATTGCAAGAGAAGTGGTGCTCTGCATCTAAATGAAAGTGCCCCAGCATGATGCTAATTAGATACTTTGCAGCTTCGTTACCCCACCTGGGAAGAAGGTAAAAAATATAAACGTGCAGGTATTTTGTCTAACCTCAGAGCTTAAACATTCAGGAGCATCAAAAAAATGGAAATATTTTTGTAGATGAGGAGAAGAATCCTGGAGTCAGTAAGCAGAGAGAGTTTTGCAGATAGCAGTGTTCCAAGTTGTACTTCGCACACGATAGGCGATACATAACCAAACCAAGGATTATTTCCTCTCCACTGTCTCCCACTTTCTGTGATACACCATACTTCCACACCAACACTCTTCTCCTGCGACTTCAAAAAACTGTCAAGACTAATACCAGCAAGTTCTTTTAGGACTAATGAATGAACCGCTGCCAAAAGGAAATCAGACCCAAGGGCTCTTCCTTCCTTTCCCCAGACAGTTCCTGCAACCTTTCGCACAGACTCCCTTGTCAGCACTCTTCTCTTGTCCACCCCAGGGTGAGGAGTGAAGTGGTCCTGTGTTGGCAGGATACATCCATATTGCACCTATTTACTCTTCATTGTACAAGTAGCTTGTATAGAGGGCTTTGCAATCCTCTGCAAAACAGAGGGGCTCCAAGGAAGCCACTCTAAACAAAGCAGCGCTATTAATTTTTCCTAAAGTCATCGTTCCTGCTGTTTAAATCCAACCCTATGGTTCATTAGAAGTGCTCACATTTCTACAACAGATAAAAATATGGCTTACAAAAAAATACTTCATGTATATCTCTTTAAATATCTCAGAAGAACACAAGTTAAATGGATTACATTAAAACCGAGATGTAAGATGTAAGAAAGTAAAGAACGACCAAGTTAAAGGCAGTTTTTAAGTTAAAAAAGGAAATGTTAATAGCATGATGAATTTCAATGTTTATCCACATGAGCATGTGAGGATGTAGGCAGCTTCATCCATCAGATGGAAGAAATCTTTACCTTCACCTGTTCTCCCCAGTGCACGGGTAGTAGACGACTATTGCTTTCATATCTTTAAATCTCTACACAGAGATCACAACCACATGGTTTGCAAGCTAGCATTCCAAAATAAAAGTCGGTGAGGAATACCTGTTACTGTTCTTAGACACAAAGCTTATATTGTTTTCATTCTAAGCAAAATAGAAAATGTATTAAGAGAGGCCTCCGGGTTTTCCCCTTTAGCCTCAACATTATTCCATCTGTAGTGAGAAGGAAGAGAAAAAAGATAATATACAGAGCTGTGAGTAGTTTTCAGTTGCTGATACAGAACAGCAGGAGGACAAATTTGTAAGTCAGACTGTTAGTTACCACTGTCAGTGAACATATCCCGAATCCTTCAAACACCCTCAAGGTCAAGAACATACATCCAGCATGTTTTTTGAATGACTGATCCTGCTCATTTACTGAGTGCTTGGTCAACCACTACAGGCCAGTCTACTTCAAGCTCTTGTTCACAAAAGGTATGTACAAGCCAGACTTCTTCCTGATTTCTCCTCCAGATTAAGAGGAGAACGGAAAATTTTAACTGCAGAAAGAAGCAATTTTCTTTTCATCACATGTGCAAAAACAGAGGATGAACTGTATCTAGGGGAAGTCTCATACTCTACAGGTGGCAAGAGTCTCTTCAGAAGAGTCCTACAACATTTTTCTCCGGAAAGAGAGAAGACCTAGGAAATAAGACAAAAACACCGTCTAAAAAATAATGAGGCATTTCCAATCACTGTCTGTTTACAGTTGTATCTGTGGAACCTGTCTGCCAAACTCAATTAGAGAACAGAGGTCTTCAGCTATGACCTTCCTTCAGTTTTTAATGAGGGGAAAAAAAAATGTACACATGAGAAACAGCTTGACTGGTGCACATAACTCATTTTCTCCTCAACAACACCTCAGGTATGCTTTTTCCCCCCCAAGGAATCATGGAACCCCAACAGGAAAGAGCACTAGGAAGTCTCCATTTCCCAGAAAATCTTCAGCTAAGGCTTGAAGGAGCTCTGTCACAGGGTAGAAAAGCACTGGAAATGACTCTCTGAACTATTTATTTTATCCATTGTTCATGCACTTTCTACTGTAGCGAGATAAGATGATCTGACACATACTGGCAGAAGCATAATTAAATTATGCATTTGAAAAAAAGACATTCAGAAAAGAGATTGTGAGGACAAAAGTTACAAAGTTACAAAGAGTTAGAAATAACAAGAATGCATCCGTACTTCCTTCAGTTCTCTCTGTCACTTATTCTTATTCCACTGCACTATAAAGCTTGCCACCTACCTGTATTACAGCAGGTGTCTGAACAGTAGAAGCCACAGCATTTGTTGTTTGAGAGAATGTTTTCACAGGAGCAGCTGCTACTTTCTTTAGTAACTGAGTGCCAGAGTTCTTAAAAAAATAAAAATAAAAAATAATTATACATGTGCAGAGAACAGCTGTCAGACAAGTCAACGACAAAACAGACACTGAAGTTAGTACCTGCTCTTATTTGACATAAACCAAGACACCCACTCTTACACTAATACAGGCACCGTTCACATAGTCCATATAGTTTAAACACTGTTCAACAAAGCTCTTTGGTCTAGCAGTTTAATACTCAAGAACAGATTCAGAGACATTTAGACACAATGCCTAGTCAGAATAAAATTGTTAAAGGATAAGCATGATAGCAAGAAATACGCGGATGGTTACTTTTTTGTATCCGCTCTTACGCTTGCATGCTGATCGCGTTACAAGAGATGGAAGCAAAAAGCCAGCAGAGCTCAGGGAAGAAGGAACATCCTGAAGACATGGGAAAGGTGCTCAGCTTCACTCAGCTTCAGAGAAGTATCCCACCAGAGGACTGCAAGGTTGCAGTTACTAGCAGTAACCATGGAGGTAGATTTTTTGGTTTGTGGTTGTTTGGCTGTGGTTTTTTTTTCTTAAAACTCTTTACATCATCATCAGAGAGAAATTCTTTAATTTGAACTATACCACATGTATCGGCTAGCAGGTTTTTCAAACTGAGAAAGTAAAGCACATAGTGATGTTCATATCAAAACCAAACACCATCTTGCTGTTCAGAATTATTTAACCCTCCATTAACTTATCTGCAAACCCTGTTGTAACTACATACCATATAGCTACGTCAAACTAAAGCTATGAGAGAAGCTACCTGTACAGCACATATTCTGATTGCAGGTGTGCTGGTCGGTACAGATGGTCCCACGCTTGTGTTATTTTGTGGCTGGTTCTGTGCTCGTGCTATTGCTTGTTGAGATACTAGCATGAGTTGGCCATTACCGCTCCTGATAAGAACAGTTCCTGTTGGAAAAACATATCCAGACTGTTAGAAATTAAGTGATATTATGGTTTTCCTATGCTTCTGTGGAAGAAATAACTAGACCACACTGATAAGATAATGTAATATTTAGTTTCTTACTCTGAGGAACAGCTGCCAAGAAATGCAAGAGCTTGGCGTACATCAGCTTTACTCTGTATTTCATGAGAGAAAACAATTCCTAAAGTCAAGAGAAAAACTTAACTAGACAGCCACCAGTGAAACACTATGTGCATACAAGAGGCAAATTGCAAAGCAGTTCATCATGTGAGTCAAAAAGACATTTTGGACATTAAAAAGACAGACACACCCCACACGCGCACACTGGGATTACTTTAACAGTAACTTCTTCAACCTGCAAAATTCATCACCACTATCACACTTGGCTGCCTCTATACATTTTCACTTTCTGAACATTTAGGCACATACTTAGACCTGAAGGTACAGTTTAGAGTATCTGCAGTGGGAACTGAAGCCTGACTAATACCAGTTCACCTACCTCGACCAAGACCATCCCCCTGGGTCAGAGGGCAGTGGTCTCCAATGAAAGCCAAGGTCACCCAGACACTTGAAGCTGTCCCTCTGTCAAGGGTCTGTCCAAAAGCATTAAAATGTATGGTTTTAATCAAAGCAGCTTACAGGCAAATAGGGAGATAACAATGGGAAAGAAAAAAAATAACTAAAAAAAAATTTAAAAGATACTCTTCTGCCTTGTTTCCTTGCCTTTTTAATGTTTTCCTTTCAAACCTACAGCAACGTCAGCCCATCCCGATTCAACTCCTACCACCTTTCTCCCACCCCATCAGCTAAAACGACAAACAATTAAACAGTTAACAAACCATGAGTGTTTTACTAAAGCTTTCAAATGCAAATCACCCTGAGGAGAATCAGTCAGATGCCACAACACAGTCCCATCCTCCCTCCATTTGGAAACCATTCAGGTACCAATGCCGCCTCCTCCTCCTCAGCCCGCCTAAGGGCGAGGCTCTGGAAAATCCAGATGTTTCATCAGGGTCACAAATACAAAAATGTCAGCTGGATCCCTGGTCTGAATGGCTTCAGATCCTTCAAGGGAGGCACACAGCTAGTGCCTCATCTCCTTTACCTCCAACAGAGCCCACCACTAAAACCACCACCCTCAAACACCTCACTTAACAAAGGCCAAAAGCATAAAAGAAAGGGGGAGAATGACAGATATGGACATAAGAGTACTTCAACATTTTTGGAGGACTGCATTAAACTTTCCTGCAAGTTATCTGATATCTGAAGAACTGCAGATCTTCTATGTGCACTTAGGACCTTCCCTAGTGTAAAACAAGACTGCATCGATGAAATAGTCTTTTTACTGCCTGGTTGGCCTGGAAGTTGTCAAAAATATTGCCGTACAATACAGCCTAAAACACTGCTTCTGCTCAAGTTTAAGTGAACACAACAGGAAAAGCCACAAGCTCCGTGAGTGGGGTTTTGTTTAAAAAAAAAAAAAATTAAAAAAATCAAGCTATAACCACATGCTTAGAAACCGCTTTTCATCCTCCACATCTAAAAGCCTAAGAGAACACTGCAAGACAACACAAAACTTGCTATAAAGTTCTATAACGTCAACACATTGCCATTTACATAGCACACACAAACTGAGACTGCAAGAGTAGCACCTAGATGATTCCCTCCTTTCTCAAGCAACCTTTACTAGATGGGGCAGATGCACAAGACAACTGCATATCCAGAAAAATACTGGTACTCCATCTGACAACTCAGCTTTCTCCTCCTCCACTGAAACCTCAACTATAATTACATTTAGGTACAGATGAATCTTAATTTAATCAGTGACTACGCAGAATCATAGAAAACGTACCAGATTTCTAATCTTTTCGTGCCGTCTTATTTAGACAGGGATTCATGGCATACAATTATCACCAGTCAGGAAAAGGGCATTTTTTCTCCTTGTTCACATCACATGCTTATGCAGATTCTAGGGGAAGAGAGAAAGCTGATGATACCACACATTTTGATAGCAACAGCATTTCTCTCTCCTCTAGGTCTACACTCAGGATGGCAGAAGTATTGCTACTAGAGGTTTTAGGCTTTTCTTTTCTAAGCTTACTTAAAAATGTCATTGCTAGCTCTACTCTTTGAGAAGGCACACATAAATTTATCACTTAATTCCTTTAGAGATTTGGAATGCATTAAGTGTTTTGTTTTCATGTATTTGGATATATTGTCACTACTCATTACATTTGGTTTTTAAGTCAAACTGTCAGAAGAACAATTTCTACTTCTCTGAATCACACTGCATACCAGAAACAGCACTGTTACCAGTCAACTCGATTATAGGATTGAGTTTTTTTTCGCACTACTGTTCTGAAGTTTCATTTAGCATTTGCCAGAGATGGAGACCTTGCCTGAAGAGTATCCCATCCTCCCGTCACTTGAATGGGGAGAGTTTCCAGCAGACTCCACTTGACAGGAAATTAACTCAAGAGCAACACAGCTAGGAAGCTTACGTAAATACAATACAGGTCATATGCAAATTCATTAACATCTCAAAAAAAAAAAAAAAAAAAACCAACAGAAAAACCTACCACAAATATTAACAAGTCCCAGTAGCCCCTTTATGTTCGACCATGACTGTAAGGATCCCAAACAGCACTGTACCCTGAAACATAAATTAACTTTCCTCCTAGTAACAGGATTAGTCAATACAAGGACACCCATACTTCATCAGAACACTGTAAGCTTATTCTTGGTGAGAGCATCCACAGAAGTAGTTACCTAAGGTCAGTCCAGTGGTCATAGCCTTGATTGGAACATACAACTAAGATGATGCCTGTTTACTTCCATATAAGTTATGGTAAGAACCTTTTCCACTTGGAACAAACATTAGTTTCCCTATATTTGTTCCACCTGGCAGAATTTTTAATACGGTGGTAGGCTTTTCATGGCAGTAGCTCTTCGTGGTGGTTAGCAAAATTAGAACTCCAAAACCAATAAAACATGGTATGGTAATCTACCAGCTACTGCCTTTGTAGGCTTAATACCGTAAATCTCTGATGCTAAAGCAAATAAAACTGAAGGCAGATTTGAAATGGCTGTCATAGCTACAGATCCACACAGTGAAGAGCCACAAGACATCACTTCAAGCACGAAACACACAGTTCTGGGCAGTTACAACCTAATGTCAAAGTGACAGTAAACTGACATGTGGATCCTCTGAAATAGTTTGAAAGCTATTGAGAATGGCATTTATTTTTTACTTCTGATTGCTGCAATCTACTTATCCTTTTTAACAACTGAAAAATACCCCTAATCTTTTGATACACCCTTTCTGCCTTGAAACAAAAGCAATGACCCAACACAAAGTCAATAGGGCAGCCTCCAAGAGCAGACACAGGAGGTGTCTTCTGCCAGAAGAAGAGGTTCCATGGCACTCAAAACCATCGCCTGAAGGCTCATACACCATGTACAGCTGCACAAGTAAGAAACGAGGAAACAGCAGGTGATGGTAACCTTGAGGTTCTCAACAGAAAGGTCACATAAACAGACTCGTGCAGCTAACAAGATGCTACTATCAGAAATGAAGTGCAAGAACCCACATTCTTGACTTGGGGGGAAAAAAAGAGAAGAAAACATTTCTTGTCAAGAGTTGTTTTAACATTCACTAGAAGGCAATTTTTCACAAGCTAAAAGTGAAAACAGATCAGGTCTTGCAGTTGTTGCAATTCCACAGGAAAATGGGGGCTGGCGGGGGAAACCTCTGA